TTTTTTTTTTTTTTTTTTTTGAGACAGTCTCACTCTGTCGCCCAGGCTGGAGAGCCATTGTGTGATCTCAGCTCACTGAAACCTCTGTGTCCTGGGTTCAAGTGATTCTCCTGCCTCAGCCTCCCAAGTAGCTGGGACTACAGGCATGCGCCATTACATCTAGCTATTTTTTTTATTTTTAGTAGAGATGGGGTTTCACCATGTTAGCTAGGCTGGTGTCAAATGCCTGACCTCAGGTGATCTGCCTGCCTCTGGGATTACAGGTGTAGCCACGGCACCCGGCCTTTTATTTATTTATTTTTTGAGATGGAGTCTTGCTCTTGTGGCCTAGGCTGGAGTACAATGGTGCAATCTCAGCTCACTGCAACCTCTGCCTCCTGGGTTCAAGCCATTCTCCTGCCTTGGCCTCCTCAGTAGCTGGGAAAGCAGGTGCCTGCTACCACGACCGACTAATTTTTGTATTTTTGGCAGAGATGGCATTTCACCATGTTGACCAGTCTGGTCTCTAACTCTTCACTTCAGGTGATCCGCCCGTCTCAGCCTACCATAGTGCTGGGATTACAGGCGGAAGCTACCGCACCCGGCCAGTCTTTGCACTTTATTAGTAGTCTCTCACAAGCTCTCACTTCAGGCCCAGATGGGATACTCACCCTATGAAATGGTCTCTGGAAGCCCCAGTATGGTGTTGGTTTGGGGGATTCACTCCTTGCATCACTCTCCAAGACCCCCCCAAAGATCCTGGGCTGGTGACTATCTGGATACTTAAGCATTGAGTCCCGAAGTGTTTGTCCCTCCCGCAGTCTCTCACCAGGTGTCTCTGAATCAGGACCTGGAAGTTCTGCAGAAAGGTGGCAGGTGTTTGCTGGGGTGGGAAAGGACTTAGGCTCTATACATCTCCCTGAAATCATCCATCTTCTCACACTTCCTATCCCCCAGCTACTCCCTGCAGGCTCTTTATTTCACCCACCAACCCACTAGAAACCACAGGTTGTCCCTCAGGGAAAGCCACACACCAGGAAGATGAGAAGGCAAGGTCCAGGCCCCCATATGGCTGAAGATGCTATTGAAATCTCGTACTAGGTCATCAAAGCCGAAGTTATCATGGAAACGTATCCCTCCTCCTGGGCTGAAGCCGAAGCCAAATTCCTCAGGGGGCTGAGGACTCTCGAACATGGGGTTCCCACGGCCCCATGCGCCTCCTTCTTCCTCTTCTTCCTCATCATCTTCATCTCGAGTCATCCCTCCAAAAAAGGGATCTCTGTGGCTGAGAGTGGAGGCAGATTGGCCACCAAGATTTCAGCACGACTTAAGCCATAACATCCACTCGTGGGTGGCAAAGTAGGACAAGAGCAAGCAGTCTGGGAAGCTGGGGAGAGGGTCGGAGGGCTGGCTGCCACATCAAAACATTAATACAATGGCTGACAGTTCTGGTTTTGTTTTTTACCAAAGTCAGACCTCAGCTCCCAACTACCTTCAAACACCTTTCCCCAGTTTTCCTTCAGTGTGCCCCAGCCCCTCCCCTATCTCCCAAGGTCCTGGTCACTCGCCCGCTGTCCTCTCCCCCAGACCCCAATTGTCTTCACCGCCCGGGTCCCTGTTGCATCACCCCAGGTTGGAGAAAGGCTTAGTTTGCTGTTTCTCCTCTTAACGACCACCCTGGTTACTGTGGCGGGGCGAGTGCTCAATGTTACGACTTCTGTCCTCTCCACACGGGTTGAAGGAGTAGGCCAGAGGATGTTTTCCCAAAAATAAGGCCTACGGGGTCAAGCTCTTCTCAGACGACCGCACCCTTGTCCGACCCGGACCTACTCTCACCTCCGAGGTCCAGGAAAGCCGAAAAAGCCCCGGAAGAGATCAAAGAGGCTCATTCCCGTATTGGTACTCGAACATTTGAACCCCTCCAGTGGCCGATTCGCAGAAGGGGGAAACCTGCGCAGCCCTGTAGGAAAATTAGCGAGACGTCAGCCCACGTTGCCGGAAAGCAAGCCCGCGCGCGATCCGGATACTGTCGTAAAAGACTGTAAGTCGGCCGTGAAAGGGAGATAGGGCGGAAGGTCTTCCTCAAATCTCAAAGGCTTTATCTTTACCTCACCTTTCAGAGACCAGTTTCCGTGACAGGAGTGGGCGTGACGGATGTTCAGTTTACCTTTGACCGCCTTCCTTCCTCCTAAACCTATTCTTTCCGCAGACCAACTCGGTCCGAAAAGCGATTTCGAGGGTTTGACTCTGGAAGGCACCCGGATAAAGCCGCCAGAGGGCCTCCCAGCCGCACAAATGGGCTGGCTTAAGGGCATCCCTCAAACCTCCCCACCCCCGGTGCTGGCCAGCCTCACCGCGGAAGCCACCTCGCCCCTTACTCGGGAGTTTTTGACTGACCTGGGTGATGTCTGCTGTTAGAGGGATGAACAAAAAAAAGTTTCTCCAAGCTCCTTCTAGTATTGAATTCCCCAGAGAAGAGATCAAGACATAAGAGACACATAGACTTCATCTCTCTAGCTACTAGGGAGTTTGTTACAACCATACAAGATTTTTTGGGGTGCGGAGACGGAGTCTCTGTCACCCGGACTGGAGTGCAGTGGCGCAATCTCGGCTCACTGCAACCTCCGCCTCCCGGGTTCAAACGATTCTGCTGCCTCAGCCTCCCGAGTAGCCGGGACTACAGGCGCGTGCCACCACATCCGGCTAATTTTTTGTATTTTTAGTCGAGACGAGGTTTCGCAGTCAGGATGGTTTCGATCTCCTGACCTCGTGATCCGCCCAGCTGGGCCTCCCAAAGTGCTGGAATTACAGGCGTGAGCCAACACGCCGGGCCAGGATTCTTTTTTCTAAGCAAGCTCTGTCTGCAACCAACCAAAGGATTTTTAAGAAAGCGAGTGAAGGGAAACTAGTTGAATCCTGAGAAGGGACAAATTTGAGACTATAAAGAAGTGTCCCTTTCGTATATATTTTTTTGAGATAGAGTTTTCTCGGTTCCCAGGCTAGAGTGCAGTGGCGCCATCTCGGCTTACTGCAATCTCTCCCTCCTGGGTTCAAGTGATTCTCCTGCCTCAGTCCCCTGAGTAACTGGGACTATAGGTCCCAGCCACCAAGTCCTACCTTTGTTATTTTTTGTAGAGACAGGGTTTCACCATGTTGACCGGGCTGGTCTCGAACTCCTGACCTCAGGTGATCCACCCGCCTTGGCCTCCCAAAGTGCATGAGCCACCGTGCCTGGCCTCACTGATTTTTTTTTTTTTTTTAGTGTTTTGTTTACTGTTGTATCATTGATTTTTCAAAGCCTCTCCACCTGTCTCTCCCTGTACCCAATCTCCAGGCCAGACCTTACTCTAGACTCTTTTAAGGATTGGATATAGCCGTCTCACAGAAAAGCACCCAAGAAGCAACTACTACAGTAGTCCATTCCTAGGGGGAATGGGCCCCAAGGTTTAGTTTATTTTGATAGTTTTTGGGGTACAGGTGGTGTTTGGTTACATGGATGAGTTCTTTAGTGGTGATTTCTGTGATTTTAGTTCGCCCATCACCCAAGCAGTATACACTGTACCCAATATGTATTTTTTTTTTTTTTTTTTTTGAGACGGAGTTTCGCTGTTGTTGCCCAGACTGGAGTGCAATGGTGCAATCTCGGCTCACCGCCACCTCCACCTCCCAGGTTCAAGCGATTCTCCTGCCTCAGCCTCCCAGGTAGCTGGGATTATAGGCATGCGCCACCATGCCTGGTTAATTTTGCATTTTTAGTAGAGACGGGGTTTCTCCATGTTGGTCAGGCTGGTCTTGAACTCCCGACCTCAGGTGATCCTTCCACCTCGGCCTCTCAAAGTGCTGGGATTACAGGCGTGAGCCACCGCGCCCAGCCCTACTATGTAGTCTTTTATCCCTCACCCCCCACTCCAAGATTTAGTTCTGCCAGACGATACATGCTGCCTTCACTTCTTTTTAGTTTATTTGCCTGGAACCGTCTAAGTCATACTTAAAACTCTGTAAAGCCATTTTTCTTTGAAATGGTCCCATCTCCTTCTTGATCCTCTCCATTTTCCACCCAATCTCCTCTATCCCTCTCCCTTTGCTGCCTGAAATCAGCTGTAGATGTAGCAGTTTCTGGAGGAAATGAAGATTTGTGGTGGTTCTTTCCAGTCACCAGGTTGTGAAAGTCTTAGGGGTGAAGGGAAGGGAATCGCCTCAGGGACAAGATACTACTACCGCATTAAGGTCAGTTCTTAAAGGGCGAAGATTTCATTTTATTCCACTGCCTTCAGGGGCCTGCTAGAGGAGGCCCAGTTGGTACAGTAATACTTATTCACCAAGCTGGTCATCGACGAAATTGAGGATGTCCTAGACGGAGCAAGAATAGGCAGAGGCTGAAGGTAGAGGTTTTCTTTTTATATATACAAGACACATTAATCCATTAAATTTGAGGACACAGTACAAAAAAAAAAAAGAAAAAAAAAAACACTTCAACTAATTCATCTGACAATGCTGTTCATATTCATGACGCCATTTTTGTTGTTGTTGTTGTTGTTGTCCTAATAATAAAGGAGACTTAGGGCTGTTGGGCTGATATATATTTGGGGGTCCCACCTCCCCACCTCATCCGTACACCACCAGGGTGAACAGGAGGAAGCAAAGGAGGCGCAGGGCCCACAGCAAAGTTTCATAATCTTGAATGCAAGAGGGGCGAAGGAAAGGAAGGGGGAAAAAAAAGGAGAAAATACAAATCCTATAATACATACAACAGGGTGGGGACGGTATAGGAATGGGACAGACATGAAGCTGAGGCATGGGGTGGGCCGCTGGGGGTGGGGGGCAGCGGAAACCCCCCACATTCCTTTCTCTTTGATGCTGTTTCCATAGTTTCCAGGCTGAGAAGCCCTCTCAGAAGATGGGACCGGGAGAAGAGGGTCAGGGCCTCAGTTGGCCCCCCAGCTGTAGCTGTTGTAGGCAGACTTGTTGGTCTGGGGCTTCTGCGGGATGGAGCTGGTCTGGCTACGTTGCCCGCTGCCCGTCTGCAGGGGAATGGGAGGATGATGGGGAGGAAAAAGGTGTCTAGTTAGTGGTACAAATTTGTAACATCTTCAGGAGGAGATGTGCAAACTGTCTTGCTCTCCCATTCCCCTTACTACTATTAGAACCATAGAAAATTTGGTCTGCGTAGCTGCTGAAGCCCCTTTCTTACAAGCAGGAAGCCATTTTTAACTTTTAAATAGGGAAAAGATGAAGAGGGCAAGATACCTTTGGAGACAAGGTAGTGACTTAGTTCCACTCAATTTCAATTCTACCTTCTCCCACTACCCCACCTCTCTCCCCTGCTCTGAACAGATGAGTCATCACAAGGCAATTTCCTTTCCATTGATCCCCATGAATGCCTCAATTTGAAAAGCTGTCTTTAGGAGGAAGGAAGCCCTTATTCTAGCTCCAGCCACCTATAATGGAGCTCTCAAGAGGCCACTTGCATCGGCCCAAAGATCCCCACCCCTACCTCACATCACATCTGTGAGCCCATTTCAGGCAGGTATGAGAGGCAGTCTCAGGCCTCAGGCTCCAGATGCTGCCCCAAGAATCTTTTCCATTCTGGTAACCAAATGTTTTCCACAGTTGGGGGAGGGTACAAAGATAAAGAGGGTGTTGGGGAGGGGAGGAGGAGAGAGGAAGGGGAGGCCAGAGAGCTCAGCAAGGTGTTTGTGTTTGTGTATCCCGATTTGTGACCGCGCAGTCTTTTCAAGTTCCCTGAGGCTGTGGAGGTGAAATGGGGACTGAAAAGGAGTGGGTTCAAGCATATCATCATTCAATTTCATTACCTGCTCCTCCTGCTGGCGCTGGCAACAGAGAATCATCTGCAAATATGGTAGCTGAGGCAGAACCAGGATATATGGAAAATAAAGGGACAAACTTTGACAATAGAACTCCACCATTAGAAGGGAAAGCTAAAATGTCAGGGAAGAGGGAAGGCTGGGAGAGGTAAGAGGGGAGGTGTGACCCAGGTCTGATGGGATGAGGACAACTGTGGCACGGGAGGAGAAGGGCACCAAAGGAATTGGGCAAAAAAGGTTTCAATCTGCCCCCTTCTCTGACATTTCCTTTGCCGGCCGCTGGTGTTATGTGCGCTTGTGTCTGTATGTGCTGTGTGCCCATGACTGGCGCTGGGGAGGGATTGGGTGAAGGTGGTGGTGAGGAAGGGTAAGAAAAGGAAAGGGGAGGCAGTTTTAAGGGATAGGAAGGAAGAGGAAGGGAAAGTAGAGAGGGGAAAGGGCTATTACCTGGCCATCCTGCTGCAGGTGATGGTGAAGGATCTGAGAGTGCGGCTGCTGATGGGGCGTCAGAATGTGCATAAAGGGGGCAGGTGGGTAGGCAGCAGCTGTGGCCGGATTGATGGGGCCCCCACTTCCTAGGGCTGAAGGCAAGTTGAAGGAAGCAGCAGGAGTACCGGAATGAAAACCTTGTTTCTCAAAGGACTGCTATTGAGGAGGCCAGGAAGAGACAGAGTAAAAGGGATCAGCAAACTAATCTTGGGATTTTCCTCAGCTCAAGCTCCCCAACCCTCAGAAAGCAGCATGGTGTCACAGAAGGCACAGTACCTCTAAAGTCAAATATTCAGGTTTCAGTCTCAGCTCTGCTCTTATTTAATAGCTGTGTGAACCTGGGCAAACTACCCAATCTCTTAGTCTCAGTTTCCTCAGATATAAAACAGGGATGCTAGAAACCTGTTGTAAAGACCAAATGGGCCAGGCATGGTGGCTCACACCTGTAATCTCAGCACTTTAGGAGGCCGAGGTGGGCAGATCACTTGAGGTCAGGGGTTCAAGACCGGCCTGGCCAACATGGTGAAACCCTGTCTCAACTAAAAATACAAAAAAAATTAGCTGGGCGTGGTGGCCTGTGCCTGTAATCCCAGCTATTTGGGAGGCTGAGGAAAAAGAATTGGTGAACCTGGGAGGCAGAGGTTGCAGTGAGCTGACTTTTCCCCACGCCACAGTACACCACACTGGGGCAACAGAGGAAGACTCTGCCTCCAAAAAAAAAAAAAAAAAAGGAAAAAAGGTTGGGAGAGGTGGCTCATGCCTATAATCCCAACACTTTGGGAGGCAC